TTTTCACAAACACACAACTGGATCGAAGTTGTTTATGATGATTGATGATTGATTGTAGCACATCTTGTAATTGTGCTTCTCGTATAAAAGAGTCAGTTGGGGTCTTCCTCGTTGCTTCATCTGACAGGTCTCAAGTAAACAGTTTGCTGCTGAATGATTGAAGTGGCGGCCTTTCAGCTCTAGGGTTAGCATAGGTGTTCGTACTCGACAAGGAGCAGCCAAAGCAAAGTGGAGTGAGCCGAGTCCTCACTTCCCAGAGAGAAGATCATTACCACCCTCATGACATGCACGCAAACCCATCCACGCAGAATGGGACTTGTTGTGTTTTGCCTCGACATTCGACAGAAAAGGGAGGTGCAAGTTGATGCATTAAACCTAATCAGCAGCATATTTATGTATAACCACAGCTCTGCTGCTGCTACAGAATCTGCACACATTTGATTCATTTTTCAACTTTTTGATAAGAAGCATTGCTTAGCCAAAGTCTGCAGATGTTCAGTTTCACTATGAAACCTCCTCTGAAGAGTTTCATCTTACAGTCACAACACCAGCCGCTTCTGAAACACTGATTAGAAAGGAATTTGTCGTGTAACGGTGCAAGCCTTGAACGTCCTGAAACAACACGTGAGATGGCTCTTCGGTCCAGACGATGCCGCCGCCAATGAGGGTTCAATCATGAAAAAGGAGCACCTGCTGGGAGAGGGTCGCCACAGCAGACACAAGCTCAGCCTGTCCCATGAGTTCTGCCGTCGGTGGCGTTCAGCCCCAACAGAATGCTCATGTTTACATACAATTGTTGTTCGACACACCTATTTCAGACAGGCACGCGTACACGCACGTGCACACTCACAGAAGCGTCTGTAACATTTCATGATCCACTCGGCAAAATAACGTTGGGTTTATGCAAAATGTTAGGCAGAAATCTTGAACGAGTTATTGAAACTCTTTAACTGGATACATATCTATCTCATTGGAATGCTTGTTGTAGCAGAGGGATCATGTTTTAGCGGTGAAAAGGAAAACATCAGCATGTGCACAATTCTACACATTCAGACCATTTGAATTGTTGATAAATCCCAAAATCTAACGACGACGGATCACTTAGGAATGTTTAATAGCTGGCTGGGTTTATTAGACAGGACATTGTAAAATAAACACTTCTTTCTTTGCCTGATAAATATTTAGCAGTCTAAAGTTACTACCAACTCAAAAGTACTGAAGAAAAAAAAAGCATCCCTGCGAATTTGAGCCTCTTGGGTTTGAAAAAGTCATTCAGTGAGTTGTTCACATTCCCAGAATCTCAGAGTAGAATAAACAGTCTACATCTTTAATTGTTGATTTGAATAATGATGGATTCAATGAAGTGTTAAAAACAACAAAGTTGCCTTTATTTGCTTTTTAGATAAATTAAGTTTGTAAAACCTTTATTTGTATTTTCACGGTTCAGCTGGATTATCAGCTCATGGAGCCGATGACTGGATTATCTGGTCCCGCTATATCAGAATCTGCAAATGTGGCTGATGTAAAAAGTGTTCCTTAACCCTCTGGAGGCAGGCGTTGCAGATTTGCAGCGTTAAAACCTACCGACCTGGTTACTCCGCATACGTATTTCATGAGCATTTTTTAACTCAGAAGTTTGCCTGAAGGACTTAGTTGTTCATCCTTTTATCGAAACTCCTTTTGAGCCTGAGAGGGTTAAAAAGGAACGAGTAGATATTAGATGTCCTTCCGTAGGAGGAGGAGAGCTGAGCCCTCTGCTCCTCACCCTCATTCATTCATAATGGGCTTCCAGAACTAATGAATGTCATTTGTGTCTTTAAACTAGCTGTAAAGAAACACAATCCATGGTGAGAGAATAGGTGATTTCAGATGTCTCATCGTGACATCGTTCTGTGGCTACAACAAAAAGAGCTGAGAGGTCAGGTTAGACCAGAGCTGTTGCTCTGAAACGCAATCCCCCAAACAACCTTACAGTTGCCCTGAAGAGGTTTGTTTCCAGCCGTTTGTCAAGCGTTTCTTTGTTAAGTTATAAATAATTACTATCTGACCCAATGAGTTCTTCCACGTAGCCTTAGCCCGGGAATAATGGAATAAACATCCAACTGGATTGATGGGCTAACAGCTAGTCTGAGTACAGGATTGTTGACGTCCTAATACATCTCCGGTTATATTAGTGCTTTACGAAGAAATTAAAACATTCACGCTGCTGTTACCTGTTTATCTGTATGGAAGCATAAATATTTACAGTAAAACACTTCCAGCGCATCCAGGAATCTGGTTCCGCTGGAACATCGTGATTTTTCTCACAACAAAATATCCAAAAACGGAAAAAGGTTTTATAAAATAACTTCCATTATGAATATTTAGAAGCTGGAGCTATTTGAAGGTGACAGAATCAGACCTTGATCTTGTCTGGGCGAGCTGCTATCCCATCAGTCTCGTGGGATGTAAATGTTGCTTTCCGGTCTAGATAGTAATATTCATCTTTCACATATAAAAACACTTCAAAACAGCCCAAGTTAATGTCTCCATGTAGGATGGACAGGAGATCACACCAAGTGTGAGTCACACCGTTTTTGCCTCTTCTGACAAGCGGAGCAGAAATCCAGAGATCTTTCTCAGAGGGCGCCACCTAGAGGCAGAAAATCTCTTTTACACCTTGTACCCCTCTCCTTACTTAAGCCTAGTTCATGCTTCTGCATCTGCTTCGGTACGGAGACACGCAACGCCATTAACCGTTGTTGCGAGGGTTCTCCAACAGGCATGAAGAACAGACGGAGTCGAGCCCACTTTCTCAACATCCCTCAAATAGAGACAGAGAGCACAAGCTTGTGATCAGGATGTCGCTTCCTCAAAAACACAATGAGAGCTGAAGATATCTAGCAACAGACATGGAGCAGCTTGAAGAACACCTCACGGAAAAACTCTAGAAATAAGAACGTTTTATCCTGGAGGAGTAAAGACACGCAGCAAGCGTTTTAATCAAAGATGGAGATGACGGGACACATGGGTTTAGAGGTGGCGAGGGCAGACTGAGGGACACATTTGTCCATGTTAAAAAAACACAATATAAAGACAATAGTGTATACAGGGTCTAGGACCAGATACATGAAAGGATACCCCAGAACAGCCATGCAACTACGTCCTCTGTTGCCCTGGAGGGGAATTGCTTTGCAACACTGCCCAGGAGACGGAGAAGTCCAAAGTCTCTCCGTCACACAGTTGACGCAGAAGCATAAACTGGACTGTACGTGATTACAGCTGGAAGCAATGCCTCTCGCTCATGAACACGCACCTCTAGCCGGCCAACAGAGCTCAAACACAAGAAATGTTGCCAACTGTGCATCAGGTAAGGAACGTCCGCAAACACATGCATGTTCTGTAAATGGCATCTGTACGTAGGCGGATGTACAAAAGACTGGTTTATCCCAGTACAGGGTCATAACTCCAGAGAGGGGAAAACCTGGATAGCTGCTTTAAAGCTCACACTGTTCTATGTATTTTTGGGGCTGCCCCCATGTGGCAGCACGTGGTATAACATGTTAACCTGCATTTACAAAAACCACAACCAGAGTGGGTGTTGTAATCAGCAGAGCATAAAATACACAAGTTATTAGGACATAATAACACTGTAATAGCTTGTGAAAAAATATCAGAAATCTCCATGAAAAAGAGACAACCATTCACTAAACAGCATCTATTTTTTTTATTCACACGTGTGTGAACGTGTCTTCATTCAGACTCAATTTGAATGATTTAGATTAATGTACTAATATTACCTTGCTATCAAATAAAATAATCCTACATGCATGGATAAATATGCTCTTCATAAGTCCCCCCCCCCCCCCCCCCCCCCGTGAAATAAAACCAAAGAACGACAGCTGAGACAAAAACTTAAATAGCAGCAATATAAATGTTAATAAAGTAAAATAGCAGGAAAACATGAGTAAAATAAACCCCTATGGGGAAAAACACAGCATCGCTTATTCTGTGTGGAAACCATGCTGGTACTCTGGACGTGGGGGGGGTTACATGTTTATAGATTCAACTTGGTTGTCAGCTTCTATGTTTTAGCCAATAATATTAACTGCCACATGATGAAAATCAACCAAAATCTTCTGCGTAAGACAGATCACTCCTCAATGTCCAACGGACCTCAAATGAGATGAAATGAATGTAGAAGTCCCATTTAGGAAACACACCGTGAGGTTTTATCTGCTGGAGGCTGACATAGAGTGACATCACCAGGTACAAAATGTCTATCAAGATGTAAGAGACTATCTGATCCTGCAGAGAATGACATGTTAGGAGAAAAAAAAGAGGAAACTACTGTAAGAATAGAGCTTTTGTCCTTAAAGTGTCACTGAAATGGGGGCTGGGCCTCCCCATGACCCCAGGTCAAACTAAAGTGACATGCTGCAGCTTGTAGAGCTCACTGGTGAGGAGCCACAGTTCTTACCTATGTGAAACGCAGACAGCTTTCTTTCTTTTCCAAAACCCCAAAGCACCTTTAAGCTGAAATAATAGTATTTATATAAAAAATAAACGTGGATGAGTCACGGCAGCTTCTGAATTCAAATCAGCAGAAACATGAACGCTGTCAAAAGCACATAATGACACCTGCTTTGCTGTCAGCCTAACTTTTCACTCTTGCTCCTCAGGCCTGAGCTCAGTGACGAAGCACGTGGGTTCATAGCAGCCTTTAAAGCACAGTCACACGTTCTCCAGAGGAACTTTGGCTCTGTGGGGACCGCGTCTGTTTCAGGAGTTAACATCTTATTTCCACGGATGTGTTAAGGAGCTGTCATGCTGTCCCTCTTCCACGCTGGCCCCTGGAAGATCAACTCATGTGACAAACCTGGCACCAAGCAGGTTTGCCTCGCGCTCCTTTAAACACAAACTTTACGCCACTCAGCTGTTTCTCCCAGGCTGTCGCCCTCCGTCTCTGTTTCTCTCTGACACACAAGCAAAAACACAGAAATTACATTTAATTCATTTACCTGTGTTGGAATCCCCCTCTTTCCCCCTTTCTCCTTTCTTTCCCTTATTTTTCCGTTTCCTTTCTTTGTTCCTGTTGTTTTCAGTCATGCTGTCAGATAAAAGTAAATCCTCTCAGGAAAAGATAAAAAAAACAGTAGTCCTGTTGGGAACGTGTGGCAAAAGGGCACTACCAAACTCTGAGCCTGTTAGTGCAACTCTCCTCCTATTTAGACTAGAGGGAGGAACCGTAAAAAGGGAGGGAGCTCGATTTCTCAGATAAGCAGTGGCTCTTCCAGACCCTGCAGCAGAGGGGGACTGGTCCTGGGGAGTCCACATGTAAATCTCCAACTAGGGAAGTCCCGATCCGATCACATGATCAGAAATCGGCCCCGATCACGTGGTTTCAGACTGATCGGGACTCGGCTTTACTTCCCGATCCAAGCCCCGATCCAGAGTTGGATACTGGGTTCAAATTACAGGAGAGCAACTTGGTTCTCCTTAAAGGTTGTCAGGCTCCCCTGACGCCCTTAACTTACACACCCAGAAGGAGCACAAAAGAGATCCAGTTTCTACCGATATTATATTATTTATATGGACTCAGCGTAGCGGGGATTCTTTTGAGCAGAGATGCAGAGAGGCAGGCAGACCGCTGATTATTCATGAACTCCAGCTGCGTTCTGCACACGGCCACAGTAACATTTTCTAAGTTTCTAAGTGGCGTCGCCAAAAATAAATAATTAACACACAGTCATTCGTGTCCGTTCGTTTTCTCTCTGGTAAGTTCTGTCTGTATGTGAGCATGACGTGTGGACGCGCTCGCGCTGCAGCGCTCGTCACTGGCGCAGCCGGGCAGTGTGGCGCACACTCCGCTTTTTTTGCGGTCAGTAGATCAATTTGATCTGCTAGTTAAAAAGTAACTTGTGAGGTGAAAAAGAAGGAAGCAGGCAGGAGTTTTTCTGGAGGACTGGGAGATGCAGGAAGATCAGAGACAGACGGGACAGGAAGACAGGAAAATAAAAACCAAGAAAACAAAACAAAGTTCTTAAAAAAATAAAATGTAGGTAGATTTATCTCACTACACGTTTGTACCTGTATAAAGCAATAACTTATCAGCATGTAGTTTTTATATAGTTGATACAATTCAGATCATCTTCAAAACTCCGTCCCATGCCCAGGGGCGTATCTAAGCATTTTGGGGGCCGAGGCAAAATAGACCCCTGCCAGGTATTTTAAGCTGAAGTGCTATCTGTTTTTATATTAGACTTTTTCATATTTGCAATAAAGTCTAAAAGTGGAGAATTTATGTTATTTATTACTTGATTGTTCAAGCTACCTCACAGAAGTGATCTGTTGTTAAAAATTAAAATAAAAAGGTAATTAAATAAAAAATAAGGAACATTCTGGAACTGTTTCTTCCTTTTCTTATTTTTTTTATGTATCAAAAGTATCAGATTGGAACTCAGTATCGGCAGATTCTCAAAATCAAATGACTCGGACTCGGACTCAAGAGCAATAAAAATCCGATCGGGACATCCCTTTCTCCAACGCTCCTCGCCAACTCGGTTCCCGCTGACCCGCGGCAGCATCCTCTCCCCTCTAATGGCCCGTGGAAAAGTGCACAGAGACCAGTTGGGCCGTCCCCTTTGCACCGCTGACCCCACCCAGATAAGTCAGGGAAGACCTTCCCTGGCCAGGGTGATGTCGGGGTCCCAGAGCACCTTACATCTGGTTCACATTAGTTTTGCACAGATTCCGTGGATATACATGCGTTTGTGTGTGTGTGTGTGTGTGTGTGTGTGTGTGAGGTGTTGAATGTCAGATCACAATCTGTGACAGACTGCTCCTTGCAAAAATTACACTTCCTCGCCTCTGTTGTCTGTCAGTACCTGCCTTGGTACTACAGACGAGTTTGAGCACGCCTGAGTCTGTGGTTCTCACTCTACTCTTGCTGTTGGACAGCGTCATCAATGTCCAAGCAGGAATTAGAGTTAAACACCCATACAACAAGCTTTGTGCTGACCCTGAGCTGTATTTTCTACATACGTCACTCACATTAGGAAACATTTGGGGTAAAAAATCAGCTAAAAGTGACGGATCATACTTTTCCCACCACGTCCGGTGACTCTTCCACAGATCTGCATCTATTAACCTGAACTTCCACATAAACGCCGCCCTCTGTCTGTCCGTTCTTAACGCAACGACTCCCACTACGCTCCTGTTTCAACATCTCAAAGCTGCATTTTCTAATATCGTGCACTACACTGCCCTCTTTATTGGCAAAAGATTAGAAAGAACATAGCAACAACAACAGTTACTCTCAATGAAACTGGAAGATGAGTCATCAGTGGGGCCATCCCGGGGTTTGTCTCTGTCAAGCCTTCGAAGGATTCTTGACGTTTCTCAGGAGTAGGCGGCGGCAGCAGGGATTGAAAGGGGCAGCACGAGGGTCATGTCTTAACAGGTCAGTGCACTCAAGAGCATAAGCCTCATCTGTGGGCAGGAGAGGTCAAAACAAGGCCAAGGTTTCAAACACCAACCAGTTTGATTCAAACCAAGGCTTTTTTTTTCATTTTCAACAGTAAATTGGTCTTTCCGCTCCTCTTCCTCTGCTCGCAGCGGTAGTACTACATGATCTAATCCATCAGCAGAGGTAACTGAGACTTGGCAGGGGTTATGGTGTGACGAAAATCTGCACATGCTGCCTTGTACCGCCCAATCTCATCCCAATCTTCACAATCACTTCCTCCTCTCGCCGTTAAACATGATGGAACTCGTTAGCCAGGCTTGCACGACTCTGGGTGGGCATGTGCTTCGTGTGTGTAATCAACGTGAACAAAATATGATGCTTCAGGAAGATGAGGTTGAGATTTAGAATACTTCTTCAGATCTTCAATCAACATCCCACACAAAACCTTAGCGAGAGCGGTGCAACATATCAGCGTTTAGCATTTGACAATGGCATGCAGCTAAAACACATTCATTTGGCTTAGGGCTGGGCAATATATCGATATTTTTAAAATATCGATATTATTTTTAAACAAGATATAAGCTGACTTTATATCTTTATATCAGCATAACTGGTCAAACTGCTGTGCTAGCGATTAGCAGCTATGCTAGTGACATGTTGCTCCGTCTCTAAACGGTTATTACGTGTATTCTCACAAGTTTGCTCAATCTGAGAGCCTCTGGGTAAATGTGCTGCTCTAAACTGTGCATTTGACGTCCTGGTTTTTAATTATTTGGGGACATTCAATGCCAACGGAGTTCTGTTTTTCCATCCTGCTTGTGCGGAGACGAGCCAAATAGTGATGTGTCTGTTGTGAACGAACCGGCTTTAAGAGCCGGCTCTATGAAGTGAACGATGGGAGCCGGCTCGTCATTGGGAGCTGTCACCCTCCCTCCCCTCCCCCTCTTGCTTTGGTGAAAGCCACAGGCGATTGGTCAGCAGGTGTAACTGCGTGTCCAGACTGTCTACACACAGAGCAGTAGGGGCGGGGAAGAGGGAGGATCAGACTCAGACACACAGCAGAGCACATGCGGGTGAAGGGAGACGAGAGGGAATGAGGAGGAGGAAAAGGCGAGCGAGAGAGAGGAAAGTGCGACGAAGACGATGAGAAAATGAGCGACAGCAGTCGGAAAGTTGAGATTTCTTAAAGTGTTCAGTAAATAAATCCATATAAATGATAAATATTTGATATATTGCAGTTTTTACATTAGTACATCATTTTACATATAGTTTTGTGTTATTTTTGGTGATAAATAAACTTTACGCAACAGAAAATCTGAGGAGCCATTTGGGAGCCGAAAGAGCTGGCTTTTTTTGGTGAGCTGAGCCAAAAGAACCGGCTCTCTAAAAAGAGCCGGAATTCCCATCACTAGAGCCAAACCCCTCCCTTCCCTGTGTAATGGAAAACATCTACGGATAGCCAAAGTGGCCAAATGACCTAAAACAAATTGTAAGGGTTTGAATAGTAAACCATAGGGTTAACGTTTTATTTTGAACACGAGCTCAGTGGGTGAGAAATGTTGTTACGGTTCCGTTTTTTTTCCTCTCCGGTTTGCTATGCTAGAAATTACTTCGTTACGAGCGATTCTGTTGAAAAAGTCAAGAGTTTGTAAGGCGTGGGTTATGGCGACAGTAGCCCAAAAATAATATTCCACGGTGCATGGCTCATGTGATCTTCAGTAGATGCAATTACATCATCATACATTTAGCTTAACATGATAGACTTATTTTCTCTGGACAAGAAATACACGATATTAGCCGCCTCTACATTAGTTAAAAATATATAATTAAAAAATGCCTGTGATACATTTGATAAACCTCTAGCTCTCAACTGTGTGTGTGTGTGTGTGTGTGTGTGTGTGTGTGTGTGTGTGTGTGTGTGTGTGTGTGTGTGTGTGTGTGTGTGTGTGTGTGTGTGTGTGTGTGTGTGTGTGTGTGTGCAGACAGCTGTACCAGTGTTTCTAAAGCACAGACTGGTAGAGAATAGGTACTAAGGTTAAAGTTTGACAAGAATCAATATATTTTTATGCATTTGATCTACTGATTTATGTATAATTTCTCAAGACAGCTTGAAGTGAGTTAACTTGTAAATATTTTACAGGAGGAAAAATATCAAGATATATATTGTATATCGGAATTCAGCTAAAAGATATCGAGATGTAAGTTTTGGTCCATATCACCCGGACCTAATTTGGCCCATGTCAAATATTAGCCGATACCACGGAGGGCTGGTTGTCCAGTGATGTGACAGCATTAACATTCAGCTCCTGGTGTATTATTTCAGCTAAACGTACCAAACTGATCCAAAATTCTAACTCATTGGCAGCGTAGAAGAAAGAGGTTTGTTATTTACCTAACCCAGCGCATCCCACTTGGCAAACGGAAATAAAACATTAAAACATTCAAAAAAAAGATGAAAACACATCAAAGAGAAGGAAGAGGAAACAGAGGCTTTGAGTTTCTCTTTTCCATAAAGAAACTAAACGTAGACACAAGCAGGACTCTAAATCTCTCTTTTTAATTTACAGGCCAAGTTCACTTGTTTTATCAACACTTCTGCAGTGGTCTCTGGTGTAAATGAATGACTTGTGAGTCAATCTTTTGGGGGGGAAAAGCTCTGGCGCTTCTGTTTCAGGAAGTAGACGTTAGCCAGGAGAGAGTGGAGCAGAGCACGACAGAATGTGGAGTCTTACTTCCTGATATTTGGACATCTCTCCTCTGACTGGCTAACAGCAACACGGCTCTACCACTGACTCATTTTGTTCTGGAACGTTTTATCTCCACAATCACCACAAGTCTGGAGGAGTTCTGCTGTGTGGTGGAGGTGCTAATGTTAATGATTAGCTTCTACTAGCCAAAACGTTGTCTGCTGTTTCCTGGACGCTAAACCAACAGCTTTCCCCGTTGTGAGCCAACATGGCTGAGTCCATGAATGTTAAGTGACAGTGCGATGTAGATCTGTCAGGATTTTCTAATCCCAGAGTTTTACAATCTATTTTCTATCAGAAGCTGATGCAGGAGATAGATGTAGGAGACTATTTTCATGTTCAGCCTGCATGAAAACTCAGTGACTGATCATATTTAAAAAGTAACAAGTAATTACGGGTTCTCAGTGAACCAGCTCTTTCATTTTGATTTTTTGCAGAAATCATTCAAACCTCTTTTTACGACATGTGATCACTCCAAAATGAAAAACCGCCTTGCTGGTACTGTTCGTCCTTCTCCTGAAGGCTCCACAGAGCCCATCTCTGGCTACCTCCTAATCCCTCCCTGCTGCTCCCAAGAAGCAGTTGTGTGTGTGTGTGTGGGGGGGGGGGGGGGGGGGTCCATACCTGCACATCATCACCGCACTGTTGCCCTTTCACAAGCACTAAAGTTTATCTTTCTCTGCATACTGGCTTTAAACAGCCATTAGGTTGTGTTGTTTACATCTGACTTGTCTTTTTGCCAACAAAGTGGACGTGAGTTCATGTGTTAGGTTGGGGGTTGGGGGGGGGGGGGGGGTATAAAAAAGGAACAAGAGAGGGGGATGACTGGACGAGGGGAAGAACAAGAGGGATTTGAGGGTAAAAGCAACATCTCTTAATTGAGATGCCTGAAAACAGCCCCACCTGCTGATGTCCTCCTCTTATTAAGGCTTCACCTCCACTAACCAGGCACTCCAGTGTGTTGTAGTAACAGGAAAAATGCAGGCTGCCTGATCACTGAGATAAAAACCTGCTCATTTGGCTGTTTCAGCAGACACACACAAGATAAAACAGTTAAACTGTCTGGATGAGTCTGGCTTTGTGAGGATTTCACATTCCTGCAAACAAAACGTGACGTCTGCTGGGGTTTTTAAATGATCAATAACTGCCATGTCCAGAGGATCGAGAATGGTGCTAATTTGTTCAAGGTCAACCATGTCAAGGGGAAACAAGCTACCAATTCTAGGTGCTCTGGGTGAGAGCCCTCCTTCAGCCAAGACTTCACCGACTCGCCGAGGGAACGAGTGGAAGGTTCTAAATAGAACCGGTGCTAATGGGCTCGGCTATTTGTTTCTCAAAGTACCGAGGAAAAAAAGGCAGCGGGCAAGAATTTAGGAGTTAAACAAGGAAGTGATCCTGGGTGGATTCGGTCTTTTTGACGTTTCCGCAGCACGTCGCTGTCGCCATGGTAACCACAGTCTTAAGGGTAGCAGCTTAGAGTGTGAGAGAAATAAAGACATGGAAAGGGTGGAATAAGGATGAGAGACAGGAACAACAAATAATAAAAGATAGGAGGAAGAGGGAGTGAGACGGGTGAGGGAATGATGAGAGGATGAGGAGAAAGTGTGTGTTCAGCATCAGCTGCAGTCTCGCCACTGTGTTCATGAGTCCAGAGCTCTGCAGCAGCAGCAGCAGCATCTCTGAGCAGGAGACACAAGTAGCATCAGCACCGCGCCGCTGTCAGGGCTGCTGACCAAACCAGATCCCGGCTCAGGGTTCCGGATCTGGCCAGTTCTCCTCCTCAGGACACCGCCGCCGCCTTCAGATGGGCCTCACAACAGACACGCTGAGACTGATGTGTGTCTGGTGAGTGATTGATGTAACGGGAAGAGGCATCTTTCCCACTTATGTCCACAGTGACTCACAATGTGACAGGTTTGACTGAGGCGGAGAGGACCTAGAGATGAGCATAGCAACTCATCAGCCAATGGGGCATGATACCGCAACAACAGCAGGCCTGGACCACGCCAGTCTCACACACACACACACACACACACACTCTCTCTCTCTCTCTCTCTCTCTCTCTCTCTCTCTCTCTATCACTCCTGAAACCAGATGTGATCTCTGCGTCCTTCTAATCTGGACGGATACCAGAGCTGAGCAGTGAACGACCTCCGTACGTCTGTCTGTGACTTATAATCGACTCCATGTTTTCTTTCCTTTGCACTTTTCCCTGTCTTTGTTTCTTTGGCTCGTCTCCCTCGTTTCTCAGATGGACGGATACTTCAACACTGATAGGATTGTGTATTTTTTGTCGTTTGACGGCTGAAAACTGATTCCTATCTTTGGCATCAGTCACGGTGTGTGAAGTGTCTGGTGTGTGTGTGTAGCTTGGACAATTATATCTCACTCTGAAGGTATTAAAATAGATCATCTTTAATGACAGACGCTAAGATCCCCTTTTTGAATCTCTGTTTTTTTTTTCTTGTTAAAGCATATGTTTTCTGTCCCTGCTTGTCTCAGGAGTGTGTGCATGCCGGTATGCCTCACTGGTTTCTGTGTTGCCCTATGAGGGACTGAAGACCTGTCCAGGGCACCCCCCCCCCCCCCCCCAACCCCCGAGACCCTGTCCACACGTAGCCAGGTGTCCCACAAACATTCTACAGTCTGAGCTATCATTCAAACCAAAATGAAGAAAGATAAATTGCACCAAAAATATTTTTTTCAAAAACTCGGACCAAAGTGGAGATTTACGAATTCTCCGTAGTCAGCATTTGCCTGTAGAGGTCACTAATCAGGTTTCTAGGTTTAATAACGTCACTGCCAGCAACACAAATGCTCTGGCATCATGGGAGACCTCTGTTTAGCCCAGTTACTGCTCTCAGACCACAGGCGTTAAGGGTGGCTGTTTCCCACCACCTAGCTATTCCATGTCAAAGGAAGAGTTTACTGCAGTCACTGATGATTTGGGGAACTACTGCCACCTACTGGCTTGGCGTGCCTATGAAGGCGCTTGACTACGTTTTTAGCCGAAAATGAGATGGTGGGAACTCAAGTTTCTTTCCCAGATGGATGGAGGAGGATATTCAGTTCTACGTGTGTACACGGCCTTACCCAATGACTACAGGAGATAGGAACCAGTTCCCCGCGACCCTACTGAGGAATAAGCAAGTGCAGAACATGAGTG